AGAAGGCAAGAAGGAATACACCAAGTCTGAATTACGAAGAAGAAGAAAGAACGAGCTCAAGCTAATGGCGGACAAATGTAAAATAAGTTACGATCATACCACCAACAAACAATAATTTGTAGAGAAAATCATGTACTGGCAGAGTCAGCAAGATAGACTTACCGATGCAGAAGTAGGAGATGTTGTGAGGGTAGAAGCAGATAGACCATATGTTGGCAATCCAGTGCCCAATGTTGACGATGCTGCCGAAGTAGAAGAAGTAGAAGAGTATGAATATCAGGTTGGAGATGGTCAGCATAGCTATACCTCTGAAGAATGTGACAACTGTTACGATTGGGATGGCGAAGAGAATCCCTTTGACACTAGAAATTGACACATTGAAAGCTCACTTAATGAAGCCGAGGCCAATGAATCGGCAAATAAACATATAGAAGCGGAATTGGGAATTGGGTTATAGTACATGGTGAACAGTATGTCTGACGCGCAAGTACTGCAAAATCTTAAGCGGCATAATTTAAACTTACCAAACTCACCGACTCCCTTCGAGCCGATCTACTCGACATGTGGACACACAATGCTTACAACGATTGCTATGACGAGCTGCATCGTTCTTCAACCCAAACTATTATGAAAACACTACGCTACTAATGGCTGACAAACAAGATACGCGCGATACTATGCTTCGAATGGTCGATAGATGAACACGCCTTCTGTGCATAGTGCGCAATGTACTACTTCTACTACCATGCAATGTACTACTTCTACTACCCTGCAATGTATTTACTACTTTCTACTACTACTACTGTTTACTACTATTTCAATAAATATATCACGAGAGAGGCCTGTCGGTTGGTAATTATTTAAATTTGCCCAAAAAAAAACTAAAACAATAAAAAACCTGTCGTTTATTTACACCTACTTGCGCTTATATTTCTAAGAACTTTGAGGTAGTCGTTTCATAATTTAAAACATTAGTGTTGTAAACTCGGGGTAGCAAACTTTTTACTTGAGGTAGCAACCTTTTTACTTGAGGTAGCAAAAAAATTCTGAATGGTAGCAAACTTCTTCTAAAATGATAGCAAACTTCTTCTGAATGGTAGCAAACTTTCTTATCGGAGGCTCAAATCTTGAGGGGGGGGGGGGGTTTTTAGGGTTACAGTACTAAATAAATATAAATGTGTATATATAAATATAAGCTAATACACACGAGTCCCAACATGATCCTCAGGCCAGCTAACTAATCCTACGGCACACAATGATATTGTGGTGTCAATTCAATTTCGCGCTACTCCAAGCAATTCTACATATGCAATTACATATTTTTCAGTACTTGATTCTGTAGAAGGCCAGCTATGTAAATATCGTACTACTACTCCTACGACACATAATTATATTGTGATGCCAATTCAATTTTGCGCTACTCCAAGCAACTCGACATCTGCAATTATATAATTTTCAGTTCTCGATTCTGTAGAAGGCTAACTATGTATTATACTACTACTCCTACCACACCCAACGATATTGTGGTGTCAAACTAGCGCTACTCCTACCACCTGTAGAAGGTCAGCAACGTATTATACTACTATTCCTACCACACCCAACGATATTATGTTGTCAAACTAACGCTACACCTACTACCTTCTGTAGAAGGCCAGCTATGTATTATACTACTACTCTTACCACATCCAACGATAATGTGGTGTCAAACTAACGCTACTACTACCACCTTCTGTAGAAGGCCAGCTATGTACTATACTACTACTCCTACCACATCCAACGATATTGTGGTGTCAAATTAGCGCTACTCCTACCACCTTCTGTAGAAGGCCAGCTATGTATTATACTACTACTCCTATCACATCCAACGATATTGTGTTGTCAAATTAGCGCCACACCCAACGCTTCTATTACACCTGGTACTACTACTACTATTTTGTATAATAATTTACAGTATATATATACATAGGACATGTTTGACAATTCCAACCATTCTGACAATTGTTTATAAAATTACTGTAGCTTTTTTAAAAACAACCAAAAATACAATATGCCGGACACCTGTAGTGCGTGTAAATGCTTTGTTGTAGCCGACGCTGTGTACATGAAGCATGGCGAGTTCTTCAGAAACAGACTGATGCAGTTTAAACTGTACCACATAGAGACTCATGGAATAGGGCCATATCTCATGGGCGTCAAAAATCCCCATGTATGCTGTATTCATTTCCGCGAAGAGGACTTCCACATATCTCCGGCAGGAGACGGCAGTCGTGAACGACCGTACGAATTCGGTCGTCTTAGAACGAACAAAAGTCGAACCGCAACGTCGCGGTTGTATATATCCCGGTGCGAGGAGCAATCATATCAGGATGCGAACGATGGTTTGTTGTCACCAACTAACACCATACACTATAAAACGGTTGAGAGCTTCGCGGTTGTTACCGAAGTACAGTGGGGCGTCCTATATTAAACCAAGAGACACCAATATCCGGCTCTCCCTCATAATCGTCAACACCATCACCCGATGCCACTACTACTGCTGCTACTACTTATACCACCGCGCACAGTGCTACCACTTCTGCTGCCCAGCACCCTTCGAGACATAGTCAACCTACTGGTGGTAGTCGTAGTACTACGCGCGGAACTACTACTACCGCGCACAGTGCTACCACTTCTGCTGCCCAGCACCCTCCGAGACACAGTCAACCTACTGGTGGTAGTCGTGGTACCACGCGTGGAACTACTACGCTACCACTTCTGCTGCCCAGCACCCTCCGAGACATAGTCAACCTATACAGGCAGTTGTTAGCGTGCGGTGTGGGGACTAATAGTAAAGTGCTAGTGTATCTAAAGTATGGTGCATTCGAATGAATGTCTTTATCATCTCACGCGCTGTTATATACTGATGGTGTTTGTACTAGTGTTCAACCACTTGGGTTGGCCAGGGTAAAAACTCATATGATCAGTATGAGAAACCTTATGCAGAACACTTTAGCACTCGGATGTATTTTCCAGAAATAAAAATATCATATTCTCTGTTACTACACTCAGTCTCGGACCTCAAGAAGTCTCAAATTACTCTTACGTTCTCTCGGGCTGACCCACCTATACTTATAGTTTCAAATTGCTCTTACGTTCTCTCGGGCTGACCCACCTATACTTATATTAATTTGAGAGCAAGTTCCAAATTACTCTCGGGCTGACGACGTAAAACGTTATTAACATATATAGAAACCCTACTGTAGTCTCTCACTCCCCCTCAATTTTACAATCAAGGGCTGAAGGCTAAAGACCTGAAGGCTAAAGGCTAAAGGCTGAAGGCTGAAGACCTAGATTGTGAAATTGTTGACTCTGACACTTCTGTAGATGGGTTGGGCGAAAAACGTTGAACAAACAGATGAATATTTGTCGAAAACGTTGACGAATTGGAACTGTTGAGTATTGACTCGATAAAAATTGATGAAAACGTTGACTCGTTGGGACTGTTGACTCGATGAAATTGCCGAAAACGGTAGCTTTCTGAAGAGTAGACTATCTCCTGTACAGGCAGGCTTCACGACAGAGCGTGCATAATCTTCTGTACGGGGACAGGCATAACAATGTCGCAGGTAAATTTACTCATGATATTTTCATATAAAAAAAAAGAAATTTTGCTTTCAGAAGCGGTGTCGAATGTCGACTGTGGTGCGGATGCTGGAGGATAGCTCCCTTCTGCGTTGTGGCATAGTAGTGGCGTATTTGTTGTCGTTTGGTCGTTGTAGTAAATTCGCTAGCTGCTGAAGCTACGAAGACTGGTGACGAATATCCGAAACAAAACATGTTGCAAAATATTTGCAACAGGAGCCAAAAACCCCCCACAAAAGTCACCGAAATTCTAGCAAGTCAAAAATCGACGAAAAATAAACTTCGCGCAAAAAAACAAATAAACACAATAAATTTATCTCGATTGATGATTGGTCCAGGAGAAGAAAAAAAATTGGTGCTGGGCTGCTCAGCTTGCCACGGGTCGACTGGACCAAAAATACTCCAGGCGACGAAAATTCAAGATAGAGTAATCAATGCTGTCGAAGCGGAAGAGTCGGAGTCCGGAGACACCGAGAGACAATAGACTCTGAGGCTCTCTACAAAGTAGGCTGACTCAGGGCTCAGGGCTCAGGGCTGAGGTCTCGGGTCTCGAGTCTCGGGGCTTAGAGCTCAGGGCTCAGGGCTGAGGTCTCGGGTCTCGGGTCTCGGGGCTTAGAGCTCAGGGGCTCAAGGGCTCAGGGGCTCAGGGGCTCAGGGGCTCAGGGGCTCAGGGGCTCAGGGGCTTAGAGACTCAGGGATTAGGGCTATCTGCCTCGGCTGGCTGGCTGGGCTGGCTGGCTAGGCTGGCTGGCTGGGCTGGAGAGTAGTATAGGTTGGTAGCTCGAGAGTAGAGTGACCTGATGAGTTGTTAGAGTGCAATGTAGTAGACTTTAAATAAAGCGCAAATGTATTTCTGAACTCGCCTTTGGTTTTACACCTAAGGTGTTTGTGCTAGTGTTCAGCCGCTTGGGCTAGCCAAGGTAAAAACTCATATGGTCAGTGTGAGAAACCTTATGCGGAACACTTCAACACTTTGATGCTTTTCTTTCTCAACTTCTCTGCAACCAAATCTCACGCTGATCACATGATGCCTTTCCACATAGGTTTTGACTCACATAGAACCGCAGCTATTATAAAAATGTTGCGTTTGACCGGCTGAATCCACTCTCGGAAGTCGGTTAAGTAATAGCTCAACTGTTAAGAGTAAAACGAGTAGCGTCGCGCTGAGAGTAGGCTGATACTTAGTAGTGCAGTTTTAAATGTCGTATCAATGAGTACGTCCCCCAAGTTTCCTAGCTGAGCCACATACTTCGGATAAATGATTGTACCATCAGCTACTTCGAGCGCATACCGGTCATTAATGCGCATGTTGCTGACGAGATGATGTTTGTGGTATTTATAGGGAAGTACGTGTATGGTGGCGCAACTATCGCAAGCTAGTCAGTATCCACCTATGGAATCTCTATCTGACTGATCATTCACCTCCTTGTTGTCGATTGCGGGGTTAATTGTGGAGAATGCAATCTGTCTGTTTGCAGGTAACTGGTCATCAGATATTAGTGCTGACATAGCTTTGTCCTGTCTGCCTTCCTGAGCTTGGCGTCGATTGCTCTGGGATCTATATGTTCTGTCAATGTCTTGTGAATGTTGGATATCTCGTGCATATCTGTAAGATTCGGTCTATCAAGGCGATATTAACGCCTTAGAGTAATTAAACGCGTAGGTAAAGTCTACGTATCGGGAAATTCAAAGTAAATACATGAAATAAGTCTTTAGTAAAGTTAGGTAAGCCTCGTGAAAACAGCAATACTCTGAGGGATTGTGAGGCTGAGACATTGCCTATATATAATCCTCTCAGTACTGTTTTCGCCGAAGGGATTTTATTTAGTGTTTCGTTGTCGCTCTATTAGAAACTATGGTACGTTTCGTTGGGGCGAATCCGAGAGACTCATAAAATCCTATCTTTAGAAAACAAATAAAAGAAAATAAATAAAAATACTCTCGATGTCCTTAGTTATTACATTAACCAATAACTTGCCACTTATCAAGAATTACCGACTTAGCCTTCATCAGACTGGCACATCTGGTTGGCTTAAAACTAGGTAACGTTAATAGTCCCTAGAAACCTATATTCAGTTGAGCCATCTCGCGACCGAAGTATTCAGATATAAATAGATTTGGAAAGCAAATATAGTTCTATTAATAGAACTAGACCAAATCTTATGTTTGGTATTTTACTGGGGCCTTTTAATGGCCTTGTCCAAATATCTGATATGGAAAATGGAAAAGGTATTAATTAATAAAACCGTTAAAAACCATTTAGGAAATTTAAGTTCCTTGTACTATTAAGAGTACGTTTATATTTTACGTACTGCTTAAGAGTACGTTTATAACATAGTCTAATGTGGAGGCCCGGTTATTACATTAGAAGGTCAGAAAGCGAATACGTGGCACACTCGATAGTGTCAGGTATTTGTCAGCACCGGCCTGAATTGACCCAGCGCATATCCTCCATTGTCGACTCACTTGGTCCAAGCTTCAACAGGGAATTCACTGACCACTTCTTCCCATCGATCTTCCCCGAACCACTACAACGGTCATGAGAGCCATACCATATGTACAAACATTGTTACTTATCTCCTTTGAAATAAATAATACTATCCCTATAACACAGCCCCCACCCAGCTTTGAAACCCAAGAGAGGCTAGTTGCTCACTCAAGCTGATTATAGGTAAAAAAGTGATGAAGGAAAAACGGGTCGAAAACATTAAGTAGCATAACATATAGTTAATGTTTCTCAGGCGGAGAACTTAAGCGTTCTCGGTTACCCTGTGAGTTTTGGGCTTATGTCCAGTAGGTCCGTGGTGGTCGAATGGTCTTTTCTTACGCTTCAGTGTCTTAAGCACATATGAAGGGTGAGCATTAAAGCTCGGGATAAATGCTGTAGGCGGGTAAGTTTTAACTTCCGTGCCTTCAGACGATGGAAACATGCTATCTTTTTCAGCTTGTGACTTATGCAGGCGTTTACGCCAATTTCAATTAAAGGCTTTTAAATAGTTTTGATTATCGAAAGCATCTGAAGTCAACTCAGCGATTTTACCGTCTATAAAGCGAGTACGATAGTATGTATACCCTCCTCTATCCGTTCTCCATATTATATCTTTAAATTAGGAGCGGTCAAGAGGGACATTAGAATCATGTCTTCTTGCGAGTATAATCTCTGTAATCGGAATACGACTTGCGCCTATATTAAGCGCACTAGAACCATCGGTGTTATTTACCTCGTACGTTCCACTTTTAGTGTCTGCTACAGAGATTATATATGGACCTATCCATTTAGATGTTAATACAGTAGCATCGGAATTACGTTGACGGATGTAAACTCTGTCACCGACCTGATACTCTACTATCTTCTTGGTAGTGTTCCAACGCTTTTGCCTTTTTAATAAGACAATTGCGTATTTCTCGCAAGCAAGGATATACAACGTTATAAATACGGTGTACGTTCTCTAACCATGGCAACTCATGGTGATCAGGTTCGTCCTTGTGAAAGAAAATTTGTAACTCCCTATATCTGCCACGAAAATAGTGAGCGGGTGTAGTTTCTGTAACCGGATCAGCACAGTCGTTCATCTGTGTTTGTACCCACTTAAGGTGGTACGGCCAATCATCTGCATCATCCGTAAATGCAGTACGCAAGAAGAACTTATGTCTTCTATGGCACACCTCTCTTATGACATATGTCTGATACGAGTACTTGCGATTCCATAACCTCATCGCAGAACTCGCTACCGCTATCAGTGCACATAATACCCAGCCACCCGTGGTCAGCAAAGACTTGGCAACCTAATTCTGCCACGGTCTGCGTATTCCTACCCTTTAATGGATAAAGCAAGTTTAACCGTGACGCCACATCAAAGAAGTGGCATACGTAGCGGTCGCCTGTGTGCTCGGACGTAGGCAGGTCAACCAGATCAATGATGATCCTGCGCCATGGAACATCTTCAGTCACACTCTTAAGCGGTGCGAACACATAGCGCTTAATCTGGTTGAGAGCACAGTCTGTACATGACTGATATACTCTGTCAACTAAAGTTGCCAGCTTAGGGTGCGCGATCACATTTCGCTTAGTATCTTTAAATGCGTCTACTACGTTCTGGTGCTTCAGCTTATGGTTTTGCGTCAGCCAAGCAAGAATGTTTTCATCATTCTGCTCTTCCA